CGAGAAATTTTTCCAAGAATTTTAGCAGTTCTTAGAAATGACATTAAATTCTTAGAATTATCGAAATTTTTGTGCGAACGAAAATTTTTGCCAATTTTTCGATTTTGTATTAGATGTATATAATTTGATAGGAGGTTGTTCGAAAAATTTTTCTAGGAATTTTAGCAGTTCTTGGAAGTGACGTCAAATTCTTAGAATTCTCGTAACTTTTGATATTTTTAACCAATTTCGTATAAATTTAAAATTTTGGACTTGTGAGTTAAAATTTGTGATTTTTTTAAAAATTGGTTTGGTTATTTACAGTTTATATGTTTAAGTTTTTATAGGAATTTTCCAAAATTTTCGAATATTTGTAAAATACTTACCTTTATACTTACCTTTATATACTTACCTTATTTTAGAGATGATTTTTTTAGCAACAAAGCGTTTTTTAGACATTTTACTTAAATCTAATTATAGAATATAATATACTTACCTTTTTTTTATACTTACTTTTTATATACTCGTGTTTTAAACATGATTTTTTAACATAGAATAAAAATTTTGGCCAAAAATTCGATTTTGTATTAGAAGAATATAACTTGATAGGAAGTTGAGAATTTCAACATTTCTTGAAAATGATGTTATAAAATTCGAAAATTTAAAAAATTTTGGGATTGGAAAAATAAATAAAAACTACGGTTTGTTCGCAAAAATTGATGTCTTTATTTATATTTTCATTATTTACATTTCTTATATTTATATTTACATTTTCATTTACAAAAATTTTTGGAAGTTTTTAAAGAGTATTCGTAAAATATTTACTTCTGCTTATCTTCTCTTACATATACTTCTCCCATTTTAAAGATGTTTTTTCTGCAACAAAAATTTTTTTATATACATTTTATTAAAATCCAATTATAGAATATATCTTTTAAGATTATTCTATAATCTTAAAAGTAAAATATTTACTTTTGCTTGCTTTCTCCCAAACACATATCTCATTACTACTAAAATCCAATTATAGAATATATCTTATCTGTGGTTTAAACACTTTTCAAAAGATATAAGATATAAAGAGATAATATATAAGATATACATATATATGTATGCAATATGAAAATAAAAATAATATATATAGAATAAAAATATGAATATACATAGAAAATATATTTTTAACTTGGTTTTGTTCTGTTTCTATAAACTAAAAAACAAAAAATGTCCCTAGATAGAAAATGTACTAAATACTAAGTATGAACTCGGCACTCTATGAATGAAAGATTACTGATTTAATATAGAAACAGCTGATTCGAATCTGTGTGTCAAAAGATTCCAAGAGGTTATGTGCATTATTTATTTTTCATATGTCTGAATTTGAATGACTTAAAAATTGTAAAATAATCAGTATTGAACAAAAATATGCGTTGCCGATACAGAAATTTCCAAGAAAATGAAGTCTTCTGGCGAGTTGTATTATATTGCATACATTTTAAACTTTGTTTTTGTATTAGATCGTACCACCTGTGAATTGTTGTTACAAAATTTCTGTTAGTAATTAACAATGGCAGATACTGAAAAAATGTTTGTTTGCTCTTCGTTTGGATGCAATATGGTAATATATGAATTTATTTTTTCTAAAACTGAGATTTTTTTTTTAATATGTATTATTTATTAATATGAGATTCCAATTTTTGATTATATATATATACAATCTAAATGGTTTTATTTATTGTGACAGAGTTTTACAGATGAGGATCAGTTATTGGTTCACAAGAAAAAACATGACATGATATTAAATCTTGGAAATAGTTCTAAGAATAATGGTTTTGTTGGTAAATATTAATTTTAATTGAAATAATTTTAACAATTTAATTATATTCCAAAACAAAGATAAAGAACTAAAAAATATTTATATACATTATATGTAGCAGATCAAACACCTACGCCAACACGTTTTATCAGAAATTGTGAAGAGGTTGGATTATTTCAAGATTTACAAAATGTAAATCCTTTTGAAGAAACTTTTAGAAGAGCAGTAGAATCAGGAAATACTGGTACTCTTACGGTACCAGAGGTAAATAATATAATTAAAATACATATAAATATCTATCTAATATAATTGATCTAAATACTTTTTTAGGCTGGACTTACAGATGATACATTGCACACACCTCATATATTTCCCCATATCGCAGATGTATTGTCTAGTAACAATCAAATGTTATCTGAAAACTCTGTGCCAGAATGTAACAGTATTTCAATTGAAAAAAGCACAGAAGGAAAAGCTACCATTGATAGTGAAGTTTGTACTCCTGTGAAACTTACCGAAACGGAAGAGGAAAACTTATTAAAAGAAAAATTTGAATCAAGCGTTGAACGAAACGTAACATTAACAGAGAATATTATCAATCAAGTTACGCATGCACCAATAATACCGAAAGTTTTACAAGAACAATCAAGTTCGCAATTGTAAGTAAAAAGTATAGAATTATTATTATTTATTATTTAGAATTATTATTTATTTATTATTTTTTAATTAAAAATTAACTAAAGCAAAGTAAAGAATAAAAATTAAATTTTTATAAAGGTCATTTAATGGTGAGGAGGTTCAATTATTGCTAAAAACAGCCGATGGAAAATTAATGCAATTATCGGCGATTCCACTTTGTGATTCTATTGACACGACAAACGTACAGTCTTTGAAGCAACAAACAGTTGTTATAAAAACAGAACCTCTTCTGCAATGTAATACAAGATTACAGCTCAAAAAATCTGCTATTTCTACATTGTCTCTAGCAAAAATGGTATTTTATTGTATGATTTAGTATATATTTAAATAAATTTTTTTAATTTTAAAGATTAATGTTTCTTGTATAATTATATAGAAATTAAAACAAACTTTAACAAAAGCTACCGGTTCGCAAAATCAAAAACCCAATGGTAATCTTCGGAAAGATGAATTAAATAATGCGAAAAGAGAAAATAGAAGTAAAACGATAGAGGATCAATTGAAAAAAAAAGAAATTCTAGAACGTAATCGTGCTAGCTCCATGAGAGCAAGAGCAAAAAGGAAAGCGTGGATACAACAACTTGAAAGAACGGTCACTAATGTAAACGAAACTAACGTAGCACTCCAGATGGAAATAAAGGTTTTACGAACGGAGGTTGCTAAATTAAAAACGCTTCTATTGGCTCATAAAGATTGTCCAGTTACAAAAGCAATGCAAAAAGGTATATATATATATATATATATATATAAATATAATTGCTCAAATTTTATTATCCATTTATGTATTTTTTACAGGAAATGGTATAATACTCGGTCCAAAAATAATATCTGTAAATTCAGACGCTATAACTAGCCCAATTCCAGTGACATCAACAGTGAAAAGATCTACTTTTTCTTCCACGGAAGTGCCTATTATGCCAAAGAAAAAATTATCTTTGGCACCATCAAAAAATCCAATAATTTTTCCAAAAGTAGATTGCAATACAAATCTATCAATTCCTAATGCCACGTTAATTAAAACGGTGCCTACTCTGAAGATTATGAGTGTCGGTCAACTCTTAACAGAGAAGGAAGAAACAAAGCCAATTTTTATTATGCAAAATCCAATAAAAAAAATAGAAAATTCCACTAGACAAATAATTCAAATAAATCCTAATTATGAGATTGATCAAAACGCATCAAAGAATAACGAAACGTGAATGTGATAAAAGACAAACATTGTACAATAATCGTTAAATGATTATAATTTCATTGATATTTTGGTAAGGAAATGATATAGAATTAGAAATATAAGTCGGTATGTGTATAATGTAGATATCAAAGTATTGCGCGTTATTAACTTAAATTAAATAAACTTTGCAATGTTGAACGATATTGAATTTCTGAATTGCTTTTGTAAGTTGAAGTCTTGCTCGAGTTAGGAATGACAGTGCAAGAAAGATCAGAAGGAGAAGGGAAGAATATACAGAGAATTTTGGCTATAATTTAATAGTATATGGGGAATTTTCTATTTTCATAATATGGTAATGTGAATGATACTCCATATCCATGTGTATAAATCTAGGAAAAGGAATCTTGTATTTTTAATTTATTATAATAAATTCAATATTTTCTTGCAATGCGTTTACATTCTTTATTATCTGGTCTTGTAATTTTATAAAGATAACAACATGTACTTATTATTATATATTCTTCTTCCTCTTTATCATATATATTATAAATATAAATATATTACAAATTTATTATGTCAATATAAAATTATACAATCATATAAGTTATAAAATTATAAACTCTTCTCATATATCAAATCGTACAGTTTTTCCTCCGTATCGGATGTTAGAAGTCTCACGATGATTCTGTGACCCTCGGGCCCTTATCAGTTCTCCGTCCAGTCGTCTAACAATTCTACACCGGACAGGAGAATGATAAGGGGCTTTGGGCACGAAACGCCTCGAAACTCGAGGCTACCAAAAACTCCTTTTATTCGATAATATCCATCATGTCCAATCTGTACACGATTCCTGTAGATCTTCGTAGAAAAAAGGATACTATTTTGCTGATCTTTCGAAGGGTATTGATTTCCCTCTTATTACATCGACTGTACCCTGTTTCCCTTTTTCTTCGTTATCAACTCCCCCCTCCCCCTCCCCTCGAATGAACGAGTGGTATTGATAGAAAGAAGTAATTGATCTTCTTTTTCTATCTTGAATGGTTTCTATCCATTTTATCGCGTAATTTTATCTAATCGCTGGAAAAATTTATGTTTATCCTTCGATTACATAAAATGTGCCGAGTTAGCTCGCGACCGATCTCATATTTTGTGAGCGAGTTTATATGTCTTTCTTATGGTGGGATATTACAACGGTCAAAGAAAGATAGCGAAACCACGCTGAAAAAGGCCTGTTACTTTTTCGACAAACAAGATTTCCGTCCCTTGAGTCACACCAGTGACTCACACGCCCAGAACACAACGAGCCAAGTGAGATGTAACTGAATTATCGGTTACTCGGTAAATACCAACGGTTTTCCTATAACGATAAGCCGGTTCGACAGAAGAGACGAAAACATTCTTATTTCAACTTATCATTCATGAGAAAAAAGAATTCCCCTATTTCATCTGGATATGCATAGAAACACAAGCCGAGGGAGATACCAAGAGATATAATTATAAATCAAAAGAAAAGAGGATCGATTTTATGTAATATATATCGATATTGTTGTATTAAAAGAAATGAAGAAAAAGACTCGAATTGAATCATTGCCATATTTATTATAAATTTTTGTTTGTAGAAAACGATATGAATTATTATATTATAAAATACAAGCAAACAAATAATTCGATCGTAAGATAAAATGACACTAATGTTTGTTTGGTGCAATGATTCAAACGAGTATCAAGCGTTACTCGTGATTCCAACGAGGCATATCATTCTTAGAACCCTTAATGCTTCCATGTTTCCAAGTTGAGGACAGAAATAGATCATATCGCCCCTCGCGAATACCCGACTTTTACGGCCCTGAATCAAACTCGTATGGCTATTATACAACAAACGCAATCTTCTAACCTTGGTCCAGACAGAGCAGTTTCTTTTCGATGCCCGCAGGAAATCGTGAATTGTGATCGTACATTCTGCGAACAATTTATGCTTTTAATTCTCGATAGATATTAGAAACGTGGTCTTGATAAATTTTAAAACCTCGACGAATAACCTTTCGAAACATTTCATTTTTTATACAAATAATAAGTCTGACTTCTTTTGTGTGTGTGTGTATGTGTGTGTGTGTGAGAGAGAAAGAGAGAGAGAAAAACAAACTAATAAAATCATTTTCGAAAGTATAAACTATTTCACGAAACGTTCGCCTAGCACGACATGTGAAATTATATCCAAATATGAACGACGATGAAGAACTAAAAAATAGAAAAGTATATCAGTCTTCTTCTTCTAAATATTAGAATAATGTTACTTGGGCATTTCCGAGAAACACCGGCGGTAAAGAGATTATCCTTTATGGGGTTTCCAGCGATCAACGGCCCATGAGTTAATTAATATCGATCTCATTGACATCAATTTATCGTAGTAGCAGTAAATTCAGAAATCAGTAGTCAGACGACCGCGAACGCGACCCACTTATCTACTTCGCTAAATTTCAATTTTCTCCTTGATTTTAACGACGTTATCTAAATATCTAAATATAAATGTTTAAATATTATCATATCTTGTTTTAAATTAAAAAAAAAATCTGTTGAAAAAGATACTTTATGTATGTCTTTTTTCTAAAACTGATTCTAAAAGATTACCATTATCGAAAATAAATGTTTCTAACTATACAAAATTATCTCTCGAAGTTCAACAATTCAATAGCCATACATACATGCGTTATTTTTCTTAAAAAAGTAAAAAATAATTATATATATTTTCTTTTAAACTCCTTAACAAATCCTGCTCTAACGAGGTTAATCTGAAATACAAGGTTCTGGCAGTCAAATACTGCTTTCCTAGATAAGCACGCGTTATCTGTTAATCCACGCAATATACGTATATATAGCTTCTAAAATTGCTTTGATATTTTAATCGCGTACAATCACTTATACGTACAAAAAAATAATATATAACAATTCTCCGTATTAAATCGTTAAATAATTTTCCATCGGTATTGTGAAACTATTATCGAATCTATAATGTAGCGTCGATGGAAATAAATGTGTTCTAAACAAAGTAACAACGATTCAAGATGTCACAGAATTCTTTCGTAAAGTTCCAGAAAAACACGTGTCAGGCCACGTGTTTTCTAATTTGTAAATTTTACAAGAAGAATTTATTTCTAAATTTCAAGAGAAATTATTTTTGAAGATCAAAACACGATCGAACGTAACACGGCAAGCAGTAATACGATATACGATATTTATATTATATTACTTTCTTTTTCGGAACGAAACCTCATAAAAGTTCACGCACTGTCGATTTTTCCTTTGTTCCATGCCGCGGAATTCTTCTATTTCCGAAAACAAAGTATCACGAAAAAACATTAGAAGCGAAGAAAAGAAATTTTAAAATCGTCGTCAATTTTTCAACGAGATAATTAATCATTTTCGATATATTCGTGATGTAAATAAGAAGAACGTGTAAACGACAATGAAACAATGGACCGAGAAAGCATTATTATCCTTAACCAAGAAAAAAAATAAAAGCTATGAAACATTCTTCTTTTCGAAAGAATTTTAGTAACACGTATACGTCAGATAATGAAACCATGTACTAATGAGATAATGATAATGGATGGTGCGCGATTATACGAGGATATCGGCGAAATGAAATGAACGGCGTGCAGGGAGACAACCTCGTGATTTTACGCCCCTGGTCCGAGACAATATGTGGTCCGATAGCCTTGAGACATAAGTCTGCTTCTTTTTATTTTTACATCTGACCCGAGACAACGACATTCTTTCGCGGTAAAATCGGTTCTCTTTTCCCTCGCGATCGTGCTTCTCCCGAAGCCCGCCACCGCGATACGCGAATGCCCGATAAACGCTCTAACGAAAAAACGACTACCTCGTTCACTGGCTCACGCGCTACTGACACTACCACATCACTCGGTAGAGATCTCATTTTCTCGACTGATCAACGAACAAATGGAACCGCCACGCGACTACAACACTTCGAAGGATACCGAATAAGTTTCTAACCTCCTATCCCATGCAGACTGGTCTTTGACCGGTCACATGGCGCGAACCGGAGAGCGACCGATCGATCTGCGTCCAAAATACCCCGTCGTTCTCTGCTGCTCTCCCTCTAGCTTCCCTTCCTCTCACTCTGTCTGTCGCTCGGCTGCTGGCTCGTGTCTTCGTCGCGTTTCTCCTCATCGCCGAAAATCTCTCTACGCGTATTTCCTCCACGTTTCCACCGAAAATCTGGTTAAACGAAAATGCACACGGCAAATAGCACGATGCGCGTAGTATGTATCTAGTTCGAGAATAAGCCGCACCGCGAGGAAACACAGGCGGCGAGTATCTTTTTTTCTCCTATTCCGACTGTAACGCGTGCAAGAGAGAGAGAACTCGAACGCAGCACAGAGAGAGCCAATCGTCGAGGACCCACGTAGTCGGATGCTGATGTAACGGAACCGGGGATTGGTCGCCGCTTACTCTCGTCGCAATGCTCGTGAATCATCGAAAGATATCGATACCAACGACGAGCACGCGTCACGAAATGTGTCTCGCGCACTACTGAGCCATTCCACGATCGGATTCGGACTTTTCGGGCCGGTCACTCTTCGCCAAGGCGGCGAGAGGGGAAAGAAGCGAAGGCGGTTGCCTCGCTTCAGCTCCCGTTCCTCGTCTCTGTCAGGCACACGCGTGGCGCCATCTTTGAATTTCCCTCTCTTTCTCGCTTCTCCCCTTCTCTGTTGCGCTGTAAAACGCTCTCTTCTCCCCGCGCCCCGATCGCGCTCATCTCTTTTGCGCGCGCTTGCACAGACGCTTCGGAAGGCAACCCTGTACTCGAGCCACTCTCTTGGATTTTGATTTTTGATTTTCCCATGGAATCTTCTGAATTTTCATCGGAGGAAAGGAGATGCTCGACGAGACAAGAATTTCAGAGAGAAGTGGATTCTGCGGCGAATGGCACGTGCTTTGTACGTCGTGTGGAGCAAAGAGGAATCCCATTGATTCTTCCTCGGCGTGAGAATCTAAAAGATTTACATCTATGAAATAAATTTCACGCGACGCGTATATGTTACGATTTTAAAGTTAAAGTTGGGAGGGGAAAAAAAAAAGATTTTCTTTCGGGAGAAAAAGAAGGAGGAGGAGGAGGAGGATGAGGAAATCGCGCCAAAGAGGGCAAAAGAAAAAAATAAGAAAGAATAAGCTTTTCACTCGAATTTACCGGCTATCGTTTCGCGTAAGATACTGTGACTATCCCACTCGCGGTTTTAATTACGTATTTAGACCGAACTTTTCCCTCTTTCCCGATGATGTCCTTTCGAGCTAATTAAAAACCGCCTCGAGTGTCTCTCTTAATTCTGATGGAAGCTCGCCAGAAGTTTGCTTTTCATCTTGGAGATCGCGTTCCTGGCAATAAAGGGGTTGCCACGACTACTTAAGCGCACAATTGATGGTAAAAATCGCAGCCAAATATCCGAATACGGATGCAAATACAGCCGCCAGGCGCAAGAGGCGGCGGAAAGGGGTGGAGAGAAAGGGGGGACGGAGATAGGGGTTTGACTTTTTTCTCTCTCTCTTCTTTTTTTTTTTTTCCTTTAAATGACCCAGTGAAACGGATTCAAGGATCTTGGACAAATTAGTGGATAAATTAGAAATCGTTGATGGTGGAGGGGGATGATAAAAAAAGAAAAAAAAAAAGGAGGTAACCGAGTCCAAGTGGCTAAGTACAGTGAAAAGCTAACCGAGAGGGTGGAAAGCAGATACTAACACTGGCCCGTGGAACGAAGTGACTCGATATCGGGGAGTGTCTCGGCGTTAGCCCCGAATTAATTCGTTGGGGCGGCTGGGGGATTCTCCATTACCAGCGTGGAACGAGCAGCAGTAAAGTGTTCCGCCTTAAAAAAAAAAAAAAAAAAAGAATACCTTCACCTCCGTCTCGAGGAATTGCTTCATCCTCTCTCTCTCTCTTTCCTCCATCTTCATCCCTCCTTGCTCCTCTTCCTCGTTCCACCGCAGCAAAACGAATTGTCTGAAAAAATTTGAAAGAATAGCCTGCGCGTCTAAACGAGCATTAAACGGTCCGCACAGTCCGTTTCCACGATATTCACGCGCCACTCGACGACGACAATTTGCGAGCTGTCGAAGGCTGGAGTGGGCGGGAGTATGGCCAAAAATATCCCGCGACGTTCAACTCGATCCCTCCTACAATTAATCGTTTCACGATTTACCAGCGGAGAGAAAGAGAGAAAGAGAGAAAGAGAGAGAGAAAGATTTAAATTACTTTTGTCGTGGGTTGTTCTTCGGCCAAGCTTCCGACCTCCGAGCTGTGCATTACATTCGACTCACGCGATAAAGCGCAGAAGCCCCAATGAAACTGGACCAAGTGAAAAGGAAATAAGATTCAATTAAACGAGACAGTTAATTGGACAATCTTCTTCCCCTATTTACGGGGGAAACCTTGCGGCTGGCTCGAGGCTGGCTCGTTCGACATTTGCAACTGGTTAATACACTGGTAATTACAACTGTCGCAATTACCACCACGTAGTTTCCCCATCGATTGCCTCCTATTTGGAAAATCCAGAGGTTCGTCCAAGGCTTCCTCGAATGATCGATCCGATCGAGAAGTATCCCATAATGGGATACTAGGAAGTTTCTTGCCTTCTGAAAAATAGCCGATATACTCGGAAATATTTTTTTCTTTTTTTTCCCCCGATATTGACTATGGTCGCTGGTCGTTTCCTTCCTGATCCGTTCCTTTTACGGCGATGTAAGCAGCGGCACATGATTCAGACCAAGGACCCGTATTTAAGAAGGAAATAACGTTGTCCACACGTGTCGCACAAAGGCCGATCTCCAAGTGCCTAGGCTACCTCGTCTACCTCGTCGCGGCCACTGCGAACCATAGCTGGCCTGACGTTCCATAAGTGTCGGACTAATTATATTCCATGGCCGGTGACCTTCGCTCGTGCCAGCTGTTTTCTAGATCTGTAAACGCACGAGAAAAACGACACTGGTTAATACCTTGTGTGTCGGATTTTGTCCGCGTGAAAATTCTGTCGACGTTTCTTTCTTTTCTCTTTCTTTGTTTTTTTTTTTCTTTTTGAAATTCGAACGAAAGAAGAAAAAAAAGAAGAGAAGAGAAAAGGAAGGACAAAAAAAAAAGAATTGAAAAAAGACAAGATCGATCGAGAGAAGCAGAAGAATATTCGATAATAAATAATAAGCATTCTTCTTTCAGAATGAATGGAACACAGTGGGATATGGAATACGGCGAATCGAAAGTATACATACGATTCAGATCGACACGGGTCTGTTGTCTGTCGCGTTTCGAGATAATGTTTGGAAACACGATTTGAAACCGCGCGCGACTGACTGATGCGATTGAAAATTTGCAAGAGCGAATATGCGGTGAATATTCGTGTCGCAGGGGACAGAGAAGAATAGTGGCGGAAGAGGGAAGAGGAGGGACAAGAGGAGGCCGCATTGAAACATTGTGGAGGAGATAAGGCCGGAATTTTCAGTGCGGATAATGTAAAAAACTCGGGCTACTCGGTGTTCTCGTTGTAATAATCACGAATGGGAAGAGAAAGCTTTTAATCTTCCGCGTATAGGTTTCGAAAGACGGGAGGGAGAAAAAGTGGAAAAGAGAGGGAGATCTATGACCGGGCGAGATTGGTGTGAAGGGAGCAACGAGGGGTTGGAAAACCAAAAAAAGAAGGAAAGAGGGAAAGAAAGAGAGAAAGAAGAGAGAGAGAGAGAGAGAAAAGAACGGAGAACAAACAATCGTTAACCGTATTTACATAATGTTTCAACGGATCGTGAATATCGCGCGGCAGTATGACCGTGTTGCACCCTGCTCATTTTAATTAACCTATTCTGCTTTTCAGCCACCAGCTGGAAATGTAATTATTTAACTTTCGGCGCATCTTCCATTCGCTTTCCCCCGCTGAATAATTAAACCAACTTTTTTCTCGACGCGCGTTTAGCGTACGCGCCGCTCTCTGTTTGCACCCTAGATTTCCACTCTTTCTCCCCTCGTTTTACCCCGACGAAATTCGCCAAAACCAATAGGAAATCCGAGCCGCGAAACGTACGCCAATTATTCCGACAATTATTCCACGTTGATCCGCGATAAATAGGCTTGTATCTCGTCGTGATGAAATACAAATCGAGATGCAACTTTCCGAAAGTTTCCAACTTTTCCAACCAAGAATTTCTTTTCGGGCCGAAAAGGGCCGAACCGTTAAGAACGTGGAGGAAAATCATCGTTCAAAATAATAAAAAAAAAAAAAAAAAAAAAAGTAAAGTTAAAACACTGCCGAAAAGGGAAAAAGGATCGAGGACGGATTCATTATCTCTTCAGGGTGTGGTGAGTTTCGAGAGTTGGAGGAAGGTCAAGGTTAAAGCTTTGAGCACCATATGCACACGCTATGGGTACAATTTCACCCTGCCGCGTGTTTCTTTCTCACTTTGTCCGCTTCCCCCCACTCTGCTCTCTTCTCTTTCCCCATTCTTACTCCTGTTTCCGCCTGTCATCTTCCCCCTTTTTTTTTCCTTTTCTTCATTTTTTTTTCTTACTTTTTCGTCCTCTCATTCTCTTTCTCGAGGGAAGGATGGGATCTATCGAAGCAGATAGGTGGTTCGTATATCCCTTGTTGTTCAACCGGACCGGAGCTTCTTCTCCTTTTATTCGTCGTTTTCTATTTACGGTGTACGCTATGGTCAATCTCCTCGGGGACGTTGGAATGACAAGGCTACTTGGCCGGTATACCTCGTGTAATCTTTTTTTATTCTAGCCCTCGTGCTAGTTTCGAGGATGGATGGGGAGGAAGAGGAATGACTGTAAAATGGCGAAGCAACTTCGGCAGGGAAAATTAATTTAACGCGCATCGGGAAAAGAAAAAACGGCTTCCTCTTTATCTTTGGCGAAATTACTTCTTTTACCGATCGATCGCAAATTTCGAACAAGATAGAACAGCTTCTGCGGAGAGAAAAGACTTGCCTTGGAAAGATGACGACCACGACGACGACGACGACGAATTCGATCACCTCTTCGAACTTTCTGAATTTCCAAGATCAACAGATTCCCAAGGGGCGTGCAAATTTTCCTGGTAATGACGCGAAGATTCGGTCCCGCGATACACCCACGCACCGAGGAGATCACGCCACGAGAACCGAGGAGAATAACGTCGATTTCCCAGGTCACTGTTCCTTAATGAGGCGGTCGATTAATGTCGAGAGGCGGGGAAATTCGATTAAAAAAAAACGAAAAGAAAAGAAAGAAAAATGCAAATCTTGTGCCCTCGGGAGCCGTCGTAATAAGAAGAAATAGGGGCGACGCTCTCAAAGAGAGCGAAGAATTCGAAACACAGTTTCATCTTCGGATGCGTCTATAATCAGCCGCGTTACGTGAATTTCGGCGGGTTATTTATAGACAGACCCAGTCACCCTGAGGATAATTTTATGGGAGTGTTCGAGGATAATTTTATAGAGGCATTGCCACTTCAACCGGCTGTGAACAGAGGTCGTCACAGGTGTTATTTTTGAACGAGCTTCTCTAAATCCCACCGTACAATATCTCACCCCCGGTGTTCATTACCGCGGCCCGCATTACGCCGCATTTTCAATTGTTCCGTGCCGGTACAACCACCTAATCGACAAGCATAAATCTTGCATCTCGATTATGCGGACCCCTTCCCCGCTAATCGAAACGCCCGATCTATCTTGCTTCGAGACTAACCAACTTATTTACGACATGACGCACCGGTGCACGAGAGATTTAACATCCAACAGTTATGCAGATGCTGGATGTTAATTCGGAAAAATATTCCACGTGAGGAGAGACGATCGAAAAAAAAATAAAAAAAAAAACAAGAGAAAAGAACGAGAAGAGTGAGAAATATTTTTTCCGGAAGAGTGTGCAACACGCCCTTTTCAAAGGCATCCACTTCAACTACTAGCCACGCCACCTTCGACACCGATAAATTGAAATTATTGGCGCGGCTCGCCGCAGCACATTACTGGCTCGTTAGCAAGATATCGCTCGGTCCACCCACTTTCCGTCTCGTTCTCACGACTTTTTTTTTTCTTCTCCCATTTCCAACAGGCTCTCCGTTCTTTTTTTTTTTTTTCAACCACTGTCAGAAATGGGAAAGAGAGAAAGAGAGAGAGAAGGGAATCAGCGGATCGAGAAATTATGATTCATTAAGGGTTAGATTCGGGACACGTTCGATGGTGTGTAATTTGCGATAGAGGCGCATTTTCGTTGAAACGAGAGAGCGAAGAGAGAGAGAGAGAGAGAGAGACACTCGTCGGTTAATTATTTGGTGGACTTTGAAATTCCTATTGAGGGATCGGGCTTTTTATCAGCCTCGTGGAGGAGAACGATAAAGGCCTCCCTTTCTCGTGATTAATTTACAGATTATATTCAGAGATCGAATGATCGAATAGAGATCGATGTCAAAACGGAATACACGATATATATATGTGTGTGTGTGTGTAAGTAAATTTTTCGAACAGCGTTGAATGAAAACGCATTACTCCTCGTTATCGCTTGCTTCGCCGCTATCTCGATCGAACTTATCAAACCGCGGAAACGTGGCATTGTATTTATCACCTAGCTAACAGTCAGATAACGAGGAAAAAAAAAAAGAAACAACTCGAATCTATTATACATTATTATTATTATTTTACTACACATTGTTTCACGGTCTTCAAAATCGAACTTGTTAACTTCCTTTTCCCTCTTCTCCCCTCCCCCTCCCCCCTCCTCCCTCCCCCCTTCTACCGACGATTTATTATCGCGAGGTATTAATTGTCCATTTATTTGACAAACGTGTTCGATGATTTTGATTGGAGCAAGAGGACACGCAATTGGTACCAAATTTGAGCGATTCGTTCGTTTCGTTCGATGGGTAAATGTTGATTAATACGTCGATCGATGCTTCTTTCCAATTAAATGTAACATCCATTATAACGAGTTGACAATTTCCTCCGTGTCGTCGATTATTTTCGACAGGTCGATAGGATATTTCGCTGTTTATCGACAATGATCGCGTTACACGCGGCCCGGATGATTCGCGTTAATCATTTCGTTTACCCGTTATTCGCGATTCTCTGTTCTTTTTTTTTTTTTTTTTTTTGTCATAATCAACGCCCCCGAATAATCGTGTTTTTATTAACCGATCAGCTCATCGGTAAAAATTTCGTCGCGCGATTTAAAATGAAGGGGAGGGGGGGGAGGGGAGGGGAGGAGAGGAAATCTCTATAACCTATTCGGATTGAATTTGAGAAATGTTGTTTCTCGCTCTCTCGCTCTCTCTGTCTCTTCTCTAGAAAAAGGCACGCGTCCCTCAAAGGTTTGTTTCATTGCAACGGGTGGCGGGCAAGTCCCAGCGGGTGTGTGCACAAAATGCAGACTCGTTCCATTTACGTATTCTCAAAGACCAGGCGAGCTTTTACACGGTTCACCTTGAGCCTCTGCTCGAGAAACATTCGAATTTAATTTCACCGGTCACCTTTTAACTATTTTCTCATCTTGAAATGTAAATTATTTCCTCATAATTCCCTCCCCTTTTGCGCGAAGATGGCGCCAAGATCTGAATATTGAAAAAAAAAAGAAGAGAAAAAATTTCAATTCGAGCGTAAAAAATTTAAAAGCTATCTCGTCAAATCAAATTTCCAATGCCGACATAACGGTAGACGGCCACCGATCGATCGTTGTATTTTCGTCCGTCTCAATTTGTCCCATGAATCGAACGTGTTTCGTCAGAAAGGAGTGCGGACCTGCGAGCTGTGGAATGGCGGATAAATCGATTTCTTCCGGAGCTGGTAGCCCGTGTTGTCGTGTCTCCGCCACCAGCGGACCGTGTGCCATCCATTCCCGCTCTGTTTTTTCTCACTCTCTCTCGTCGAGACGAAATAACGCTCGAGGCGGCTCTTCTTCGGTCGTCGAAACAACGTGGTGCACGAGGTAAAACACTCGT